GAAAGAAAATTCTCAACAGGATGAATTGAATGCCTCCCAACAATGGACTCAAACTTACCTACAAATGCAAAAGCAGCACAGGTCTGTGCAACATTTGTTTTGTTATATATGTGGCAGCTACAAGTCAGAATTGACTCAAAGGCACCTAACAACAGCAACAGCAACATTTCAACTAACCACTTGCAATTTCCATTTAAATCGCCAATGAGACAATCAAACTTAATAATAACCAAGACGAAACTTCTAATCTGCAGTCCACTTGAAACAAACAAACAAAAAAAAGAAATAAAATTTTAAAAAATTGCAAATACAACAGCAGTAAAAATTCTTCAAGCAATACTCTTATCTAATTCCTGTTATTAGTAATAACATCTTCAGTCTGGCAACAATCAGGCTTCAAATGGATCTATTTTAGTACATTCATCTCTTTGTCAAGAATTTTAATTTCCTGATTGGAAATACATACTGAATTAGAATTTTCATTTTAACAAAATCCCCAGGTGATTCTTACAGATACATATAAAATCTAGACTCTGATTTCAAGCCAGAATGAGTAGGTCTGAAGTTTTGGTAAACTCAAATTTCTCTATAAACGTTGACTCAAATTACATTAAAATTTACTTAGAAAAAGACATTCTTTCTCTACCCTATTTTCCATCTGAATCTCTGTGCATGAGTGCACATGCATACACATATTATTCTTCCATTTATATTTGTAGAATAATTGAAAGGGTATTAAGGGGACTCTGGCGGCCTAGTGGCTAGAAGCTGTGCTGCAATCCCAACGGTATGTTGTTTGAATCCCCCAGATGATCAGTCGGGAGACAGATGGGTAATCTCCTCTTGTGCGATTAACTGAATCTTAAAATCCACCAGAGGGTCAGCTATGGGTCAGTTCCAACGCAACAGTACACAGCACACAACAAAAACAACAACACAGAATAAAGTAAGAATTTCCTTAAAAAAAACCCCAAATCACAGAAATTTAATTTTTATAATATGTGCTATATACTAACTTTATGCCAGGCATCATTAGAATGGTGCTGACTTTAAAATTAGAAAAAGCGATTTGCTCTCATGAAACTTATGAAACTTGACATAGGAACAATAAGACAGATGAGTTCAATATATTAAGAAAGTACCATGAAGAAGATGTTATTATGTGCCCTTGAGCCCAAATCAACGCATAGATAACCATCCAGTGGATTTTCAGATAAAGTAAATCACACAGGAAGACAAAACTCTAATTTCTCTCGCTGAGCAGCTGACAGATTCGAACTGCCTGTCTTTGAAAAAAGACGAAGCTCTCATGAAATAGATGTTGTTGTTGTTGTTGTTTTTATGTGCCGTCGAGTCATTTGCGACTCATAGCGACTCTATGCACAACAGCCCTAAACCCTGCTCTATCCTGCGCCAACCGCACCGCCTCTGACACACCCATCCCAAAATTACCCCAGTCACCGAATCAATCCATCTCATAGAGGGTCTTCCCCTCCTGCACCGTCCCTCCACCCTCCCAAGCATGATGTCCCTCTCCAAGGACCCGTCCCTTCTGGCAACATGTCCAAAGTATGTCAGACGAAGCCCCAGAATCCTTGCCTCCAAGGAGTAGCTTGGATAGCAGAGGTTTTTAGGTATACTTAACTAAGACTGGTAAGTGGAGAATCAGAAAACCCACCTTTAGGAAAGTATTACTAAAACGGAAAACTGATGTGAAGGATGAGTAGGGATGTGTTGTGTGTGTAGCTGGGGAATGAGGGAAGGAAAGCAATCCTGAGGATTAGAAAGAATTACAGAATAATTTAAAGCCAGATAATCTTTCTATATAATGTAATAACTAATAAAGAACTATCATTTTGGCCACAGTGTACAGGAGAATTTAAAGAGAGATCAAGAAGTTTACCTGGAGGCTACTACAGTATTCTAAGTAAGAAATAAATGTAGCTGGAATTAGTAAGAAAGGAAACAGAGAAAATGGACTACTGCTATAACCATAGGTCAGAACCAATGCATCGGCAGTGGGTTTTAAGTAAGAAGTTTAAGATGCTGTAGCATAGTGTATGTGTTGTGCTGCTAATCGAGAAGTTGGCAGTTTAAATCCACCAGTCCCCATGTGGGAGAAAGATGGGCAGTTTCCTCTCATAAAGATACAGTCATGTTGTTGTTGTTGTTATATGCTGTGAAGTCAGAACCAAATGACAGCTGGTCCTCAGAGAATTTTGAGAGGCAATAAATCATGTAGGCTGAGACTGCCCATTTTTCTTCTAAGAAACAAGTATTATATCTGAACCATGTGCTTTTGAGTTGACAGTGCAGCTCCTTACCACCAGCCATTAGACCTCGCCTTGAAACTCAAAAGTTGACTGCCATGAGTTGGAACCAACTTGATGGTAGGAGATTCTATTTTCTGGTTTTAAGTATAGTCTTATAAGCAAAAAAGAATTGAAATATAAAACAAAATAAAATGAACAACGAAAGGACAAGTGAAATCATACCTAAGAATTATGACCTAATCAGACCTAAGAATTATGGAAGCTATAAGTGGTAACGATTCATAGAATGTGTGATATATAAGCTGAACTTTTTCTAAATATAAAGAAGTCCAAAGAGCAAACACATCCCAAGTTTTATGAAAGGCTTAAATGGTGGAGCTGCTTCCTAGTGTAAATAAAGTTTTAAAATAGTCGGTATGTTTACTACATCCTTTCTTTAGGCAAAAACTTAAAATGCTGCATTTACAACTAATTTTAGTAGATTAAAATGTCAACCCAATCTATGAAACATTATTCTATTCTACTACAAGCTACAAAAAGAATTATATTCTGCCCTCGAGGAGGCCATTGTTATTATTGCAAATTGGTCTTAAGGTCTTAAGAGTAAAATAATATTGCTATTGTTAGGTGCCATGGAGTTGAATAATGACTCATAATGACCTTGTGAACAACAGACCTGAATCCTGCCTGTCCTAATGCCCATCATTTCTGATACACTGAGTCCATTTACAGTCACTATGTCAATCCCCTTCATAGGAGTCTTCCTCTCTTTCACTGGACCCTACACTTTTCCCAGAATGCTCTTTTTCCAAGGAACAGCCTCTGCTACCAACATGTTCACAGAATGTGAAACGGAACTTCCTCATCCTTGCTTTGAAGGACCACTCGGGTCATACCCTCTCAAAGACGTATGTTTGCTCTTTTTTGCAGTCCATGGGATACTCACTACCCTTCTCCAAAACAACTTAAAAACATCAATTCATCTTCTGTCATCTTTATTCATTGTCCATCTCTCAAAAGTTTAGCAAGTGACTGAAAAAACCATGACCTAAATCAGGTGCACTTTAGTCTTATGCCTCTTCAAGATTTTAAAGAGGTCCTGACAGAAGACTTTCTCAATGCTATATATCATCTGATCTCCTAACTGCTAATACCAAGGGTATCGATTTTGGATTCAAGTAAGATGAAGTCATTATTAATTTCAAACCTTTTGCCATCTATCATGATGTTGTCTACTGGCCCAGTTCAATAAGAAGGATATTTTAAATAATTTTAGACTGCTTAATAAAATATATTTTATATCACCAACTGACTCAAAATCAGAGACCTCTCCAAAGTACTAAAGAGCAACAATGTTACTCTGGAGACTAAGGTACACCTGATCCAGGCCATTGTCTTTGTAATTACTTGCTATGCATCAAAAAGCTGGACAATGACTGGATGACAGAAGGATATTTGATGCCTTTGAGCTGTGGTGCTGGAGAAGAGTGTTGAATATATCATGGACTGCTAGAAGAACAAACAAGTTCATCCTAGTGAGGGTGAGACTAGGTTAATCCTTGGAGGCAAGGATTCCGAAGCTTTGCTAACATCCACTGGATATAATGAAAGGTGGGATCAGTCGTTGGAGAAGGACACCATGTTTGGGAGAGTACAGGGACAGCACAGGAGAGGAAAACCCCCAATGAGATGGAATGACTCAGGGGCTGGGGTAATGGGGATAGGTGTGTCTGAGACAATAATAAGACTGGCATAGAATAGAGTAGGGTTTAGGACTACTGTACATAAGGTCACTATAAGTCACAAGTAACTCGATGGCACATAACAAAAACATCATCAACTGAGATAAACTTGAGATAATAACTATATAATTCAAAAAATTCAGACAAATCATGAAACATACACATGCAAGCACACACATATACCTTTACATACATAATGCCACTATGGTAGGCAATAGAGAAGATAAAAAGCTAAAAGATAGCTCCTTCTCCCAAAATTGTATAAACTATATGAGGAGACAGACATAAATATATTTTAAGAAGTATCTTCATAAGATTTCTGCAATGGTAAGATTATTTTCTACACAATATTGCCAAATCAATTCTAATTCATAGTGACCCTCCATAAGGTTTACCAGACTATAAATCTTTACAAGAAGGAATTGCCTATCTTCTTCCTATGGAACAACTAGTGGATTTGAACCACTAAGCTTTCATTTAGCAATGTAACACGTAACACACTATGCTACTAGAATTCCTTTACAAAGTAAAATTCACTCACAGATACACTGTCATCAAGTCAGAAACGATTCATAGCTAACCATCCATCAGATTTTTCAAGGTATAAAATCTTTACAGGAGGATATCTACCAAAATAAGTTAAATTATTCCTTTTCTAATGCACAATGTAAGTATCACAGGGATAAGAATCAAACCATAGACAAGATTCATATTTCTAATACTCCACAGAGTTGTATTTTTGAGGAATATTCCAGATTTAAATCGCAAGCCAAAGAGTTTGTTAAATACCCAAAAGATGCATCACACAATAAGCAAGAAAAAAATAAGAATGAAAAGAAAATGATGAAATTAAGAGACACAAATTTTTAAGAACTAAAGAAAAGAATAAACCTAACATAATAATTTGTATTTTAGAGTAATTTAAATAGTATATTTATCATTTATCTCTCTTTTTAATGCTTGAAAATAGAATCCCGACACTTACCTTATTACTATAAGCATGGCTATAAGAATTGAGCAGATAGGATCTGCTATCATCAGACCAAAATTTTGCATCAGGATGGCAGATGCAATTACACCAATACTCCCAAGTGTATCTGCTAGAATGTGTAAAAAAACACCTAGAAATAAAGCATAATTGGAATCAAAATAGCATCATCTGATCAATTTAAACAGATATCCTAGAATATTTACTTTTATATATATGTATAATTAAATATTAACTTGAAAACTCATCAAGAATGTAGAATCACTACATACTAGGACTTTTATTAATGGAAATAACAGGATGCTTCTCAAATTAGCTAACGGATATAAGATTTCCTTTTTAAATTACAAGTTAAACTATCTGATTTGTTTTTGTTGTTGTGTGCCACCGAGTCGCTTGCGACTCATAGTGACCCTATGTACAACAGCCCTAAACTCTGCTCTATCCTGTGCCAATCGCACTGTCTTTGACACACACATCCTGATTACCTCAGTCACTGAATCAATCCACCTCATACAGGGTCTTACCCTCCTGTGCTGTTCCTCTACCCTCCCAAGTATAATGTCCCTCTCCAAGGACTGGTCCCTCCTTACAACATGTCCAAAGTATGTCATATGAAGCCTCAGGATCCTTGCCTCCAAGGAGTAGCCTGGTTTAACCATCTCCTGGATGACTCTGTTTGCTTCTTAGCAGTCCAAGGTACACTCAATACTCTTCTCCAGCACCACAGCTCAAAGGCATCAATTCTCCTTTTATCTTCCCTAGTCATTGTCCAACTCTCTGATGCATAACAAGTGACTGCAAAGACCATGGCCTGTATCAGACACACCTTGGTCTCCAGAGAGACACCACTGCTCTTCAGTACTTTGGAGAGGTCCCTAACACCAGACTTTCCCATCGCAATGCATGTACATAAGGTTTTCAGAGGCCTGTTATTTCAGAAGTGGACGGCCAATCCTTCTTCCTAGTCTAAATGTTCAGATTTAGAGAACTATCCGAAAGACAAGCATTTTATAGAAGAAGTGAAAGATATATCCCTTATTGTGGAATTAACCTTTAGTTTCAGTGTTGCCTCTGCCCTTTGCACAAGTGTCTTGACCCACTTATTTCCCTGCTCCACCATCCACCAGAATACCCATCCACTTCTACGCAATGCCTTCACAGCTATCTCCCATTATCCAGCCCTTGATCTGATATCTTATATCTGAAGCTTCTTTGGTTTTTGTGATTCCAAACACGTCGGGTGATGACAGTTTCTTATGCTATGACCACTGTCTCTTAAGTTTAGTGGCATTGTTTCCCAAGTGAAGGTGAAGTGTCCTGTAGAATTGGTGTGCAGATAGTTTCTTTTTCTTGGCCTAAGGGCCACAGGCCCAAGGCGGCGTGGAAAGCGTTTGCAGGATGTGTAGAGGGAGCAGAAAGAAATCTGCACAAGTGGAGAACCAGGACAGCACAAACGACCTCAGAAATCCCTACTCACCCCACAGGTAAAGGAGAAGACCCCACGGTGGAATCTGATTTGTAATGAGCTTTCATGTTTGTATACATTATAGATAAAGTCCGGATCTCTCTAAATTACTGAGGAGCAACGATATTAGTTTGAGGACAAAGGTGCATCTTATTCAGGACATGATCTTTTCAATCACTTACTTTCTATGCTGATGAGAGTTGGACAGTGAATAAAGATGACAAAAAAAGAACTGAAGGTTTTAAACTATATTGTTCGAGAATAGTACTGAATATCCTATTGACCGCCAAAAGAACAGATATGCCTTAGAGAAGGTGCAGCCAGAGTGTTCTTTGGAGACAAAGATGATTAACCATCACCTCACATACTTGGAGCACACTGCTAGGAGGGACATCATGCTTGGGAACATGGAGGGACAGTAAAAGAGAGGAAAACTCTCAATCAGGTAGACTGACACAGTCAATTGGCTCAAGTATGTCAGAGATTGTAAGGACAGCACAGGATAGGACAGAGTTCAGATCTGTTCATAGTATTACTATAAGCTGTACTCAATTCTTTGGGAGGCACTTAACAGCAACAACACTATGTGAAGGAAAAGAGAAACAAACTTATTTTTAAAAGTGCCTAGCTGGTTAAAAGAAACAAAAGAGTTAATAATTCATTTAAAAAAAAAAAAAAACACCAAAAAAACCCACCAGTAACACCCCAACCAGCACTAAAGTTTTTGAATTGGTAGACAGTAAGTGGAAAACTACAAACATATGTACATATAGAGCCCTCTGCTGGTGATTAAAATAATTACCATTAGATACAGAATTTCCTGTGGACAACTACCAGTCCTGGTATTAGGGCTTTGTTACCTAAAATTACATACCAAATTCAAACTCATTGTAAAACAAAGCAGGGATCTGAATGCATTAAAATGACCTTAAAAACATTCTGAACTTTTAACATTTAATTAAATACTAAGTTTGTAGTTGTAGGTACCTTTGAGTACAACTCACAGCAATGCTATGAGCAGATCTGAACTCTGTCTTAACCTGCGCTATCTTCATCTCTCACACATTCTAGCCCATTACTGTAATCATTGTGTCAATCCACCTGATTGAAAGTCTTCCTCTCTTTTTCCATCCCACCACCTTTCCAAGCATGTTCTCCTTCTCAAAGGAATAGCATCTCCTAGCAACATGCCCAAAGTATGTGAGATGAAGCTTTATCATTTTTTGCCTCCAAGTAGTATGCTGGAGATGCCTAAAGTATGTAAGATGAAGTTTTAGCATCTTTGCCTCCATGAAACATCCTGCTCCTTTGGAAGTCCATGGGATATTCAGTATTATTCCCCAAAACCACCATGCAAAGGCCATAGTTCAGACAAAATTTTTTGTCATCATTATTCATTGTTCAGCATCCAAATGCACAGCAAATAAGTGATTGAAAAGACCATGGCCTGAATCAGGCACACCTTAGTCTTCACATTGACATCATTACTCCTCATTAATTTGGAGTGGATGATCCTGACTGCAGACTTGCCCAATGCAGTATGTTTCCTGATCTCCTCACTGTTGGTGCCAAGGATGTTGATGTGAATGCAAGTAAAATTAAATTGCTCACAATTTCAATCTCCTCTCTATCATGATGTTGCATGTTGGTTCAGTGGTGACGATTTCTGTCTTCTTGATGTTTAGATATAAGTCATACTGAAGCCTGTACTCCTCAATCTTCAAAACCTCAAGTCTTCCTCACTTACAGTCTTGATTATGCATTATTCTTCTTAAACTCCAGCTTCCCATTTAATTTGGTCAGCACAGAAATTCAACAGGATTAGAGAAAGGTTATAACTCTAATGTACATCTTTTCTAATTTTAAACCATGCAGTGCTTCCTTGCTGTATGGACAACAGCTAGGTCTAAATACAGGTTTCCTATGAGCACCATTAAGTGTTTTGGATTCCCATTCTTTTCAATGTTAGCCATAATTTGTTATGATATACACAGTCAAATGCCTTTGCATAAACAGTAAAACACAAGTAGACCTCTATCTGGCATTCTCTGCTTATCTCTGGTGCCACCCATGGCCTCTTCTAAATCTAGCTTAAACATCTGGAAGTTCTTTCTCAATGTACTGCTCTAATTGTTTCCAGATGATCTGTAGCAATATTTTGCTTTCAGATGATACTGGTAGATAATTTCCACATTCTGTTGGATACCCTTTCTTGGGAGTGAGAATAAACAAGGATCTCTTCTTATCAGTTGGCCAAGTAGCTGTCCTCCAAATTTCCTGGCGTAACACATCCAGTACTAAATCCATTAGTGGAATCTGGTCAACAGATTCCTTTTTTACCGAGCTAGAGTTTCTTTTTTAATAATGTCTTCATATAGCTTGAATTTCTTCCTTTATTGTCATTCATTCTTGTTCTTATGGTACTTCTTGAAATTTCAATGTTGACCAATTATTTTTGATGAAGTGATGACTCTGTGTAGTCATTCTATTTTTTTTATGTTTTCTAGATCATTCAAGATTTTGCCCAGATAACTGCAACTCTCAGTACTGCAACTTGAGACTTGAATATGTTCTTCAATTCTTTCAGCTTGAGAAATACTTAGCAAGTTCTCCTTTTACCTTCCAGGTCCAATTCTTTACACATTCTGTTATAATACTTTTCATTGTCTTCTATATAAAAATTAATTTTACTGAAAATTTACAGAGACTTTGGATTTCCAATCATTCAGTGTAGCACGTTTCTCCCTGCCCACTCCTCCACCCCCCAGTACACACTTCTCTTTGAAAAGCAAAAGAAAAGTTCCCCCCACTGTTTTGCAATCACTCCCCCCAGGTCCACTCCACTATGCAGCCTTCATTCTGGACTCCTGTCATGACAATAATACCTTATCACATATCCATCTTAAAGTTTTCACCCTCATCTGTTTCAATACAGTATATATTATTTATCCCATCTTTCTCAATCTTCCTCAACCCCAATGCAAGTCCTGTTTCACAACAATTGCATTATGCAGTATTTGCCCCTTTGTGACTGAGATATTTCACTCAGCATAATGTCTTCCAGGGTCACCCATTGTGAAAAATATTTTTGCATGAGTTCCTTGTTATTCAATGCAGCATAGTATACCATTGTGTGAATATACCAGAGCTTCTCTACCCATTCATTTGTTGAGGGGCACTTAGGTTGTTTCCAACTCCTTGCCATCTTGAACAAAGCTGTGATAAACATGGGTGTGCATATATCTGCTTGGGTGGCAGTTATGGTCTCTTTGAGGTGAATTCCCAGTAGTGGAATTGTTGGGTCAAATGGTATCTCTATTTGCAACTTTTTGAGAAAGTGCCACACTGCCTTCCACAGTGGTTACACAATTTTAAACTTCCACCAACAGTGACTAAGGGTTCTAGTTTCTCAACAACCTCGACAGCATTTGCTTTTCTGTTAAATTTTTATATTCTTACTGGCTTGAGATGATATCTCATAGTTGTTTTGATTTGCATCTCTCTTAGAGCTAGGGATTTTTAACATTTCTTCAAGTGCTTGTTGGCCATCTGAATGTCTTCTTTGGTGAAGTGTCTGTTCATATCCTGTGCCTATTTTTCAATTGAATTGTTTAATTTGATCTTGTGGTGCTCAAGTATTTTATAAACTCTAGATATAAGTCCCT